AAATATTTCTAAGTAAAACAAAGTTTAGCAAGATGAAAGTACCGAACATCATGTCATGAGGCTGTATCATACAGGTTCAGATTCGTTTAGCAGCGCCATAGATCGATATCTGGATGATACGGGGAACTACATAAACACCTTAATATCTTCCATTGGACACTAGTCAGTCAGTCACCTAGGTAGAGGTGACGAAAAATATTCATCCATAACACTGACAATCGGTGGATGTTAATTATTTTTTTCAAGTCTTACTCTTATAAGGATTTTCTTGATTGGTTAGAGGATTTCATCATGAGCTGATATCAGTTAGACAACCACTGGGAAACCCTTCAGAGAGTACTGGACAGCTGGCTGGTTCATCCTAGTTTGATACTGTTCATTGGTAGGCACCCACCGCGAGGGGTTCAAACCCAGGACCTTCTGGTTACAAGGCGAGCTTGGAGACTATTATCATTCCTTTGTGTTTAAATTTATACTACTTACTACTAGTTAGTAGTGTAAGTATATAAATATATATTTGTTAACTATGTTTTCACTCCGTAACCATCACTGTTGATTGCTATTGAAGTTTATCTCATTTAAGGAATTAGTATTCTATAGTAATTATCTTAGAATACTTAGATGATATGTGCTTTTGAATGCTTTGTTTATATTCCACTTAGCACATTTAAGTACATTTACAAATTTAGCTGTTTCTGTGGAGAAAACTATATACGGCGAAATACTAGACAGCTCAACAGACGCATCATTACTGAGCATCTTCCATCATGATTCCGGAGAGGCGGAGTGAAATCTAGAAGAAGTTCTATTTTGTTTCATTTGATTGATAGCGGTCACCAAGTAGACAGAAATAGTGCCTTCACAGTTATCTGTTGCATTCTATCGAACCATTGAAACGAAATTTGAACCCGCCGTCTACACATAGCCGAAGCTATGGGAATTAATTCGAGAGAACAATCCTAGTCTTTGAATACAACTAAAGAAGTTTGTTATACCTTTGTCTCTCCCTTGCTTGCCTAGTTAAATTCTAATCAAAACCCTCCCACCCTTTCTTATTTTCCATTTCCTTCGTACTTTTATGATATTGATTTAACTGTGATAATACGTCCACTATAACTTTGGTATTACGTAACACTTAAGATTTGACATAAATTATTTATTGATTGAATTGTCTACATATACACATATCACTCACTCACTACCTTTGTTATTCTTATCACCTCATCTGCAGAAACCTTATTATCAATATTTTGTTATCATTGTAATCACCGACCGTTATTACTGACGTTCGGAACATTTGCCACATCATAAGTTACTTGGCGGATGGTGATTAGCAGTGGAATCAATCTAGGATGCGTATTTCATCCTATTTGGGATTCATCCATCAGCCAGCGGATGTGTACCTGAAGTCCCCAGTGAGTGATTTTGTCCCCACGGAGGCTCGAACCCAGTGCCCACAGCTTCAAATGCCAAAGTGTTATCCACTAGGACACTTCAGCCATGGGAGCCACCCACCTCTTGTGCGACGGGTCATATTGATTATTTAATTGAGTTTCGGATTTTTCCGTCCATTGATTGGACCGAAGTGTTCGGTCTCAGGTTGACATGTCGGCTTCTTGTTCTTCTGCAGGTACATCCAGTTGGCTGACGAGTCCCAGGTAGGTAGGACGAATTGCGCATCCTGGATTCCACTGCTAATCACCATCCACCACTTAACTTCTAAATACATACCCAGACATCGTCTGCATCTGCATCTGCACAAGAAGCCGATATGCCAATCTGAAACTGAGCACTTTTGGTCCAATCAATCGACGCGAAAATCTAAAATTCAATTAAATGTACCACACTATCATTACTGTTTGATCCACATCCACAAATTCACCGTCATTGGTTAAATTTGTTATATATAAATCTATGTAAATTAGAGTAAAGCCTGAAGAGGATCTAACTGAAAACAATAATATTATTCTCTTATATGTCTTGTTCTAATATGAATAATGGGAATATTTAAAGATTCCACATTGTGTTGAACTTAATTTATTCTAATCCCTTTATTCCTTTCCTTATCTAGGCATTCACGTGCTGTTTAATCTGACTGTAGATCGTTCGTCACACAGTGGCAGTCTATCTGATGGCATTCAATCACAAGCACCTCACAGTTTGGGGTTTGTATATTATGTTCATTATTTTACATAATAATATAGTGCCGTACTTTAGAGAAATCCCGTATCTTGGGATTTTATGCACAACTCGAGTTGTGCATTATTATTGTTTTATTGCTTTCTTTCGTTCCTAGAGAAACATAGGGCTTCAGCCTCACATCTTCACTGAGTTCGGTTCTCCGCCAACGTTTTCATATGGCTCTGCATCTGCCCACATGCTTTCATCTCCTCTTCACATCACCTCCTCCTCGTCACACTGACGTGACGACTAACCCGCCACCTTTCATTCGGGTTCCACTCAAGTGATATCCTATCCTGGCGTGTGATGTCAATTGATGGTTTGTCTTCTGAGAGTATGACCAATCCGCTTCAATTTCTTCCTGCATATTTGTTGCACAATTGATTCTTTCTGAGTTGGTTCGTTTCCAGAAATCCCTCTCTACTGGTGATCTCTTCTGGCAGGCCTTCTGATCTTGAGTAGTATTGAGCGAAGACAGCTGTTGATGAAGGTTGAGTTGTGTGTATGCACAACTCAAACGTTTGGTTAATTTATTTTATTCCTTCATTTTCCCAGTGGAACATAGAGCCATAATCACATCATATCAACTTGATATGATTATGAGTGGCAATAGCTTATGCTCGAAATGTGGTCATCAGTTAATATTACTGTACAACACTCCACTGTGTGATTTATCAGATTAAAATCTCATCCATAATGGGGTTATGCTCTACCACAGTGCTCAAATTTTTGGTAGCAGTGTTTAGTTTTACAGACAGGATGGGGTTGCTAGCCTCATACCCAACCTCCCCTGTTTACCGGCTTTATTTCGAGTTTAGCGAGGTAAAATAATGCGACGGATGGGGATCGAACCTCGGACCATGCGTACGGTCGGCGAAACTCCATCATATTGCAGCACCGACGCACCGGTGGGACGCCAGTTTGGTTAATTGATCAATTGTAATTATTGTTGCGGACTCCTTTGAAGAAATCTACACTGGACTTATATACATATATATATATATATGCCCTGAGTTGGTAGAAGTTAGAATTCGATGGGCCAATCATTCTGAACTGAATAGAGTAATGTCAAGCCTTTGATCAGTCATTTAGCAGAATGGTTGTTTATGCATATTCGCCAACTGGTTTCATTGAAACTTGTGAGCTACACATCAACTGATCGATCATTTTATCCCATAGTAAGAAGAAACATGAACGCTTGTTGTGCTCGCGGATCCAAAGAAATTGTATCTAAAAGATAACAAATCTACTACGATCTGTAAACTAAAAACGAAAACTGAAGTAACTGTGAGCAGATTACTAGTGTCTTTCGTCCAAATGATTAACACCTTACAGTATATTTTGTTGGGAATATTTTGAATGAATCAGCGAAGGCTGATCAATTTTCTTTGACCGGAATTCCCTATACCTGTGTTGTAGTACGGAAACTTTAGCGATCCTGTTGATCTGAATGGCAGCCCCATTAGTCATTGGTGCGATAGATAAACCTATCTGATGAATCGCGCGTCCTCGTTCCGCTACTAGGCACTATCAGTCAAGTAACATTACACACTGAAGACTTATGTATTTAGAATATGAATTTTATCAGAAGTATGAAAGAATGATTTGGCAATGAAATAATGCTCCCTAGTGACTGCCTGAAGGAGGACATTGTCTACCCTCAAACAGACAAGAAATTTCATTTGTAAAACTTCTACCAAATACAATATGTGGAATAAAATGGACATAAATCGACAACATGAAAAAGGTATAGCTCACCACAACATCACATGGACAGATGTACGCTCGTTGCGCACCATATATACCTCACCAACTACAACCCACCTTTCCTAAGATAATGTGATGAACTTATATCCATAATGTTGCTGAGCAGCTAATATTCTCAACTCCTGTCGGAACAGCTGAAAATCATAAACCTTCCTCACGCTAAGAAAATACCCACAAGCAGTAGAAATCCATTAATTAATGCGTCTGAAGCTTATGTATTTACTCCCAACAATGACATTGGGGATCAAATGAGATAAACATATCACTGATTTCAAAATAACACATGAATGAACTATAATTCAAGGATTCTGCACACAACGAAGTTATGTATGAAAATTGACTTCAAGCTTTATTTTTTTCCCAGGCACTTATAATTCATCCACCAAAGACCTGCCTTTTTTGTTAATGCGAAGACAATATTTCTGTATTTCCTGATGTGTTTCACTCACTGACAATCTAGCAGATTTTTCCAACTGTGCACAGAGATGATTGTATATAAGTGAAAAGACTGTTTTATACTACTGGGATTAACATTTATTAAGTGTATGTATAATCTCCAGCGAACATGTAAGGCATATCTTGCTACTCCATGTAAATTGTGATTGAATTATATGGTTCTATTTCTGTAACAATCTGATGATGCCTGTAAACTGGCGTCCCTCATGTACTGTACTATGAGAATAAATTTATTTATTTATTTACAGTTCTAGTGAAGAGTGACCAGTAGGGTGCAGTCATTTGGCAGTGAAGACAGGCACTAGCCGATGACGTTGTCTGGTCGTTGCACTAAAATCTTGAATTGATAGAAGCTGGAATTCATGGTCCATTCAATTGGGATCCAGTGTGTGAATGGTTTATGAGTTAGCTTGCTTTGTAACAGGGAAATCATGAGTCTAATGCTTTCTGGCGAGTGTCTAGTACTGAAGAGTAGCAAGCACTACGATGGAACGGCTGTCCAGTACTCACTAATTTTCAACTATTCCCCAAGTGATGTCCATCTATGATGGAACTTGAAAATAAAAGAGGAGCTTAAAGTCGAAGAAAAGTTTGCCATGACTAAGCATATTAGTCAATTAGCAGTCTTGAGTGCGTAAGTGCTCTTATGGGCTGATTCGCTCACATACTAGCTAAGTGGAATCAAGTGATGTAGTTGTTTCCCCTTAGGTGGATAATTTGGCTGCAGTGCCTTCATTGTCTTTCTGAGTGACAAAGTTAAACTATCACTATCCACGGGATGCGGACGCACGACTGCCCTTGGACAGACCATTCAGAAACACTAGCGGGTTTTACATAATAATAACATTTAATTACAACAGAAATACACAGAGCAGTGGTAAAGCATATTAAGTAGGATATATTTACAAGAAAATGCATGAAAACACATTGAACAGGTTATCTTCCTCTGACATGACTTAAAACTACGTCCCAGTTATAATCAAAAATAAGATCCGGATTTTCAACTCCTATGTGAAGTCAGTGCTGCTATACGGATCAGAGACTTGCACTGCGCGTCATAAAGAGCATCTCAAACAAACTACAGACCTTCATTAACAGTTGTCTTCGCTCAATACTCAAAATTAGATGGCTGGTCAGTAAAGATCAGCAACAGAGATCTCTGGCAATGAGCGAACCAACCCAGCAGGAACCGATTGTGAAACAAATAGGCAGGAAGAAATGGAGATGGATTGGCTGGCCATACTCTGAGGAAACAAACCATCAAGTGACATCAATAGACAAGCCATTGCTCGAGTGGAACCCGAAAGGGAAGCGGCGAGTTGGTCGTCAGTGCGAGGGTGACTTGGAGGAGGTCATGTGAAGAGGAGATGAAAACGTGTGGGAAGACTTGGAGCCAGGTGAAGACTCTAGCAGAGAACCGAACACAATGGAGACGCACGGCTGAAGCCCTATGTTCCTGTAGGAATTAAAGGAAACAATAATATAATAATAATGGGGAGCATCAACTGCTGAGTTAGACTAGTTTCCGTCGATGTATTCGCCGAGGTGACTGAGGATGAGCTGTTTCTGTGAATCGTTCATTTCCCTTATCCTGTTGTACAGTCTTCCCCAAAGCCCTCGGTTGAATTACTATGGTTTCCAGTAAGAGGATCGATGACTTACTACTCACCAGGAAAATGTATATAATAAAACAAATTAAAACAAATGACATGAACTATAAATATATCCCTAATCGTAACCCTAACCTAAATCCTGACCCTAATACTAACCCTAACCTTAATAAAAACCTTTTTCCAAACCGTAATTCTAACTCTAATGCTAATTATAACCCTGATCCTAAATCTAACCCAAATACTTATCTTAACCTCAATCCCTACCCTAACGAGCTATTAACATATTGTCGAAACAGTACTTATGTCTGAATGAATTTTGCACCTTAATTCCTTCATATCGTTGCTGTATTAATGGTGGGTCCCGTTATCCAATGACTGTTTTGCGTTCAGGGTCAGTTGTACGTTCACTCTCCTGGGTCGTTATACTTTAACTTGACCTTCTAAATGACATCCTCAGCACACACTTCATTTTGAAGTGAGGTGTAAAGATTCCGCACGAATTTATCAACCATCCCTCCTGGTTACCATAAGTGTTAAAGATTGGTAACTAACACATTTTCTAAATGGCAGATTGCAGTTTGCTAATCTTAGGGCCAATCAGCTAATTGTGACTTTCATCCACAAGGAGATAAAACAGTTTCAAAGTTTGACTCAGTCGGAACAGATAATTCAGATAAATTTTAATACTGCAGCGGTACCGAAAGAAGATAATAACGATTGGCGACCCGCTGTTGATCGCCGACGAGTGAATGCCAAAACGATCTCTGATTGCTATTCACTGATTTACTTACGTGACTTGAAGATAAAACTGTCTGGTGCAATTATTTTTTCGAAAAGAGACCTAATAACAATTTATACTTCATATAAACGGGTTTTTATAAGAAATACATGCAATTTTTAGAGGCAGGATCAGTTATGTTATAAATTACAATCCTTATGTATAACAAATTAATACTTTTTCAAAAGTTTAAATTGTCCAATAATGGTATAAGCGATCAGAACAGGTTTTTATAAATGTTAAATTGTAATCACTTCACTAAGGTCACCATCGAATTTGAGCGACAACCGAAACTTCGTTCCGTTGACTGATGATAGTTATGGTCAAATAGTGAACAGCGTATACTTGAGTACATGCTCTGCCGCCACGTTATGAAAAGCTATTTCAGGAAGAGAACCTCCTGGAAAACACTGCAGTAAGTGCCCAGTTACACATACAAAGAAGCGTTGTTAAAGCAATGGGTAATTTTCAGTCTATATGCGAATAGGAATCAGAATAATGGCGAATTAATCCATATAGACACTTGGATACTTTGCATTCGATAGGTTACACCAACAAGGCGTTACCATTATTATTCAAAAGTGTCAGATAGGAGCAGAACCACTAGACCTTCTCAGGCACACTACTAACGACAAGGGTATCCACCAATATGCTAGTAGAATAGATGATTTCGCAGCTAAATAAGGTGGAAAATTCTCGCACTTTTATTGGCTTGGCAAATTATTATGAGGCCCTATTCCTAACTGTGCCTCGCTGATTCGACCGCTTACAGACATTCCAGTGAGTAACAGACCCAGTTAACTTGACGCGTCCGCTCAAAGTGCTCTCATTCAGGTTGAAAAAAGCTATCGCAGATGTTACCCTTCTAATGTATCAGGTCTACCGGCACCACTAAGTATTTCCGTTGATGCATCAGATACTTCAGTCGGCGCAGTTCTGCAACAACTAGTCAACAGAGATTGTCAGCCGTTCGCCTTTTCCTCAAAGCACCTAAAACCAGTAGAAAGAAAGCACAGCACAATCGGTAGAGAACTCCTGGCTATTTACTATGCTACGTATCGCTTCCGACTTCAGTGGAGAGTAATGAATTCATTATTTTCACCACGCACGTACTCTCTGAACTCAACTTGAGATAAGTATTCACCTAGAAAATCACGACAACTGGACTATGTTTCACACTTTAATTCCGTATTAGCCATATATCTGGAGGCAGATGCCTTGTCTCGCATTTGTTCCCTCACCCAAATGGATGGCATGGACCTCAGGAAACTGACTCGTCTTCAAAAAGGATATGCTAAGCTTCAGTATGATTTGATGAAAACAACTCTGCAATCAGCCGATAAACCCTTAGATATGGCAAGAGAGACTATTTTATGTGAAATCTCCATGAGTACTCCTTGGCCCATCATGCCGTAAAGTTGTCACCATTACGTCTTCAATAAGCTGCATGGCTAATCTGAACCACCGTCGAGCTCATTACTAGTCGGTTTTGTTGGCCTGAAAGTAGGAGAATGGGCTCATACGTGCGTAATTTGCCAAAAGTGCCAGGTAGTAGGACATACCAGTGGTACCTTTGGCACCTTTCTTATCCCTGATGCTCCTTTCGAGCAAGTTCAAAAAGATCTAGTTGAAATGCTCCCAGAATCTCATGGATATACTTATATCTTGACCCGCATTGGCCGTTTCACACGGCAGCCTGAAGCAGTACCTCCCACGGATGAATCCGCCGAGACACTCGCGTCTCTGACGAACCATGGATTGCACATTTTGGACGCCCATCCTCCATAACAACTGATCGGGGGGGGACAATTTGAAAGCGACTTATTCTTCGTTCTGACTAAAATCATAGGTTGTATGTGTTTTAAAACAACGACCTACCATCCTCAGGTTAATGTCATGGCAGAACGTTTATACTGATAACGGAAAACTGAATTATCAATCGCAAACAGTGCACACTGAACTGAATCATTACCGCTAATTCTCCTAGGGATACGAAACGCCTTGAAAACTGATGCTGGTTGTGCTGCTGAGCTAGTGTATGGTACAACGCTACAACTGCCAGGTGAGTTTGCTTCTACCTCTAGTTTCCCACAAGCGACAGATAGCACCTCATACTTCAGCGGGCTTACAAACGCAATGTGTTCAGTCCATAAGCGATTTTACCCACCTATGCTCGAAAACTTCTACACCTGTATTTGTTCGTCGTGACTGTGTGCGTAGCCCACTAGAACCACCATTACGATGGACCACATAAAATCATTAAAAGTTGGATAAATTTCTTGTCTTGGACAAAAAGGCCACGAAGGCTCCGTTAGCATTGGAATTTCTGAAACTGACCTACTTGGAAGGCAATTCCATGAGCCTCAAACTAAGCATTTCCAGTAATGCATAAGTAATCGACTACCTGTCAGTCCTTGAAGAAACCACTTGAACGGCAAAGGCAACTGAATCTTCTGTCGAAGCTCCAAGGAAAGCGCGCTCTGGACTAAATGTGGGGTACCCAGAACATCTTCACACTTATCTCACATAACAAGACGATGAGACCCACTCAATTTATCGACCTTGTGGTACATTTTTTTCAGGGTACATGAATTTTTTCATTGCATCCCACAACATATGTAAAAGTTTCTTTTTTGTGACTGTACATGTGACATCCGCTAAAAGGAACATTTTTCTTGATGTTCTTTTCTTCGCATCATTTTTCTGTACGGTAGATGTATACTATTATTCAAACTTTAGTTTCGCACATTTTCCCAGAATTCTTGTTTTCTTTTCCAGGTGTGGCCAGTACTGGACAAGAAGCAGACTAAGTAGAAGATCCGGTGACGGACAACAACGAAGTGATGCACATGCACCCAGTTAGCACAGTTACACAGCCAGTAGACGATCTACAAAGCCTATCGGAAGAGTTTTACTGATGACAACACCATTGGGTTTTCTACTTCCGGTGGTTTCGTCTTAGGGTCCTCAAAACCCCACTGGGGGGAAGTGAGCTGTAGCGGCAGGTAATTCTTTGGAATTATTAGCCACAGCTTTAACCACTGAAAACTGTATTCTGACAAACACCATTTAAGCGAACTTGTTTAGCTGAAGGCTTACGGTCAAGCATCCACGCCACTTGGCTTGCCATCGTGTTAAGTTCGTTCGTTCGTGCACGATCCCTAGCTAGTTAATAATCATCTCGCTCTCGGATGTGGTCCCGAAATATACTACGTAATTTGATTGATCAATTCTTGTGTTTTGCTTTGCCTTTGGTCAACGTGGAACGAATAACATAGAAGTTGTGCGTATTAGATCTTGCGTTAGTATATTTCGTATTATCCATGAACGTCAACTCCCTCAGCCTTTAAGTTGCAAAAGCTGTCATATCAATTTACTATTAAAGCAATCCTTATAACTAACGTCTTTTCTGATATTTTTGACTATCGTCTGTGGTCTAGGATGGTAATTAACGGTCAGAAGATGCAATAATAAGAACAATTTTCATTTTGATGTTGCTTGGAAGCTTCTGGTGATTATGAGGTGATTTGTATCGAGTTATTCATTGCTGATGTGGTGTGGTAAAGGTCACTTCACTACGTAAGAATAATATTATCTACATACAGATGTGTTATTGAGAGATAACCATTGAAAGCCACAGAAAAGTAAAGAGCCCCGGATAACTGTCCCACTGTATTCTGTATCTTCTCATCAATCCACACCAATGAATGCAAAAGAATTCGTAATCAGTGATTTCAGCTTGCAGTCAGAATGAGTCTCATTTTTCGGTCAACTTGATCGAGATCCAGTCAATGATCCATGAATTTCGACCTCTGTCAGTTAGCAATATAATGCCACCGCCAGCCATTGTAACCAGTGAACACTTGTCTTCCTGGACTCGATGAGTTATCACCCCTTGATTTTAAACATCAGGTTATTCTTTGATACATGACCAATAAAGCTAAATAGTAATCTAGAAAATGTAAAGGATTCCTTGCCCAGACAGTACACTAAATAAGAGTGTATCGTCGGTTCGTTGGTCGATTACTCACGTAGAGGTTCCGGGTCCTATTCCCACCTGAAGTGCACCTAAACTCCGCTTAGCCGATAGTAAGCCCGGAAGAGAGGAAGGATTGGACGTGAGGCTAACAACTCAAACGCATACTAAGACATTAAACGTCTACTGAAAATTTTAAGTGACAAGTTATACATCTACATTCTCTCGCATTAAAAATATTCTTCTGACTTACATATTATCGGTGGCATTATATTCGTGAACTGTGTCACATTTGTTGCGTTTTTTATTAGAGAACACTGCTTAATACGGATATTTGAGTAATTTGGTGAACTAAAGGAGGAAAAAAAATCAAAGTTGAACCTATATTATTAAATTTTCGTGAAGGCATGCTAGTAAATTTTGGTTCGTTTATTGAAACATTCAAATATCCACCGGATAAGGCGGGTGGCGCCACATCGGAGAAAGGGGTGTGCTCCTCTGATTTAATAAGGTACATCTTTGAAGACAGATACCTCCGCCTATCTACCGACTTTTGACCGAATCAAGGCTTTCGAAAGCTCCGATCATAATTTCGGTCTAAAAAATCGTCTCAAATTGGCTAGTATTATACTGCTCCTATGGTTTAGAGCTTGCCTTAAGCATTTAGTGGCCTCCTTTTCAATCCTTTGCGTTGGGATTGGAACACAGGCCATTTAATCACCCCTGAACACAGAACCTACCCGGATATAGGCTGTTCATTGGTTGACCATAACAAAACGAAATTGATTTTGAAGCTGAAGCTTGATGGTGACCTTCATGAGGTTTTACAATTGAAAATGTATACGGACGTGTTCTGATTGTTTACGACAATTCAACTATTTAAACTTTTGAAAAAAATGTTTTCTTATTCTTTCACGTTCCCAGTGGAACGTAGGGCTCCGAGCTAGAGGCTTGAAGTTTTTTTACAGGATGGGGTTGCTAGCCTCATGCCCAATATTCCCTCTTTACCAGCTTTTTTATTACCGGCTAAGCGAGGTGAAGGAGTGCGTTGACCGGGGATTTAGCCCCGGACCACGTACATGGTAGGCGAGCGTCCTAACCGTTGCACCACCGGCGCACCTGAAAATATGTTAATTTACTGATATTTCACGATCGCAATTTATAATAGCAATATATTCATTCCTATCTTTATAAGACACACCAGTCGGGCAGGTTCGGACAAGTGTTATTTGAATCACATAAATTCAGTTTATGGTGAAGCTACACGGTTGCTGTCTTTTATGTCTTAAGATTGTGGGAACAATCTGCTAACCAGTCATTTAATGGAGCTAATCAAGTTATGTGGAAATACTCTCTTCGCATCAACAGAGAACCCCAGTTTTCTTTAGACGAATTACAACTTCCATCTGTATAAACGGTATGTATTTCAAGTTAACTTACCTGTTCATGAGAATTATAATGATGAATATCATCATAGTCAGTGAGCTGTGGAGTTTCACTGGTGGTGGCGTTTCCTGTGGGTTGGAGTTGCTTGTCTCACAAGCAAAAATCCTTCTTCCTCGGGTTTACTATTGGCTAGACGAGGTACAGGGAGGTGTAGACCGGGAATCAAACCGGGAAAGTGTGTGTAACTAGTCAGGATGTCACTAGTGAATCATGAATGCCTGCCTACATGTCGTTGATTCACTCGACCAGCCAAGAGGAGTTTGAATTGGTTCTTAAGGTGATCTGGTTCTTGAAGCATGGAGGTAATAATAGAGCGAGGGCGAATTTGTTTCCCCATGGATTTTATAATTTGGTGAATTTACTATTGGCCTCTATGGATACTGCTTTAGTCGTCTGCAGATTCAAACGAAGCCTACACTTTCATTTCAAGGAGCTTAAACATCAATTTACTGAAACATCATCAGATAAAGCACTTTGACTCTTGTCACTCATCCTTTCTTCTTCATACTATTTCTTCTTCTGCAATGTATACTTTCCATTTTCATTTTCTCCTCTCTAAGATTTACTTAATGAAAATTTTTTAATTGTATTTGATATCTGTTTAAAAGACCATATCGCGTCATAAGAATCACTTAATATAGTGTCGACTATGCATACTGTTAGATGTATAAGGGTATTTATCAAGACCAAGTTTCGAATGCTAAATAGTCCACTGGTTTATTGGAGATTGAATATTTAGTTGGGATGTTTCTAGGTCACCTGAAGGTCGACCGCACTACTTAAAGAAAGTTTTTGATTCCGTTAGTCAATGCTTTTTTACATATTTTTGTCTGTGTATATTTCGTGGAAACGTTTTGCTCATAATTCACTCATTATTTATTTATAATTAAAAAACGCCTTACTGAAGGGTTTCGGATAGTAACTTGTATCAAAAAGGTTAGATTAAATATTCAGCAGAAAAAGTTCCTTTTGCTTTAGATGGTTAGACGAGTTCCATGTGTATTTAATGTTGTCTGCGTGATGTTTCTTGCAGTGTGCCAATGTTTTTCTGGTTTGGGACTTGGACTTAGGCATGTTCATGATCCACCATAATATTATGGTGGATCATGAACATGGGATTTAAGTATTATATAATACTTAAATCCCATTAAAGGGTTAATTTAGAGGTCATACAGACTCGATCAGAATGTACTAATTATATAATTGGCATTCAAGTTGTTCAGGGTTATTTAAAGCACTAAAATACTTTATGTTTTCTTTGGACTAGGGAAGACTAATCGTAAAGTCATTTTCATCTCAAATTAGAAATGAAAACTCAAACAACTCGTATTGTAAAAAAAACCTATGGTCATAAAACCGATATATTTGCCTTGTACACCTAAAAAATAGTGAAAGTTACTGAAAAGTATTTGCTTAATGGTGTGAATACCTGAAGTCTGAATCTTTTGCTCATCACAGATATTAAAAGTTAATTCTTTGTTTCTAGAGGTTTTCTGCAAGTTCCATCAAATTTATATTCATGGATGTTTTGAAATTCCTCATTGTGACTTCATGCCTAAGTTGTATTAGTCTCATATGAAACAACTTAAACACTTTATATGATTATTTTCTTCTGTACTGAAAAGGCATGAATGGAGTTAACTCTATTTCTGTTTCTTAGGAACATTTTATTGAATGTTGATTGATTAGTTGTCTATAAGGTTGAAAGAAATCAAAACACTCCATGTACTCCTTGACAGATAGAAATTAATTTAAATTTAAAATTACCTTTATCTTATCGTCACTAAGGAAAAGGTATGAATTATCGTACAGATAAGGAGATGACGGTTTTGGTTTATTACTGTATGAACATAGGTATGTCATATTTCATCCTGTCTAATTTAATTCAGAATAAACTACACACTACAGAACAATTTTCATATCCATTCTGCATATTAGAAGTGGAGACTTGGGTGTCCTTATTATTTATTCTTTGAGTTCCGAGTCAAACATAGAGCCTCGGTGGCATATACCCTCGTTGCACTTAGTTCTCTGTCGCCGCTCTAGTTGACTGCATAACTGCCTACAAGCTATCAGTTTCTCTTTACATTGTCTTCTCCACTTTATCGTTTGACGTATGTCCAACTAGTATCTTCCCATTTGTGTAAACCCCGGCGGCATGCCTTACATATTCTGTTGCTTGAAAACATCAGCAAATGGATATTAATAGGCACAAAACCAACGTGTGACCCTGAAATGCCCATTGAAAGAAGTTCGTTATATTTAACTTTTAGGTAGTGAATCATACCCACTAGAAGTACACTGAGTGAAAATATTCTGTATTTTTGGACATATATATCTTCACTTACTGAACCTTGATGGAGTGACATAGTAAGTGATAATGAGATTAGAGTAGGTTTAGTTTTAAGGTAATTAAACACCATCAATTGAGGTGATTAGGGCATTATTATTATTATTCATTCCTTGTGTTCCAGGTGGGACAGAGATCTCCATCTGTTACTTTCAACAGGCTTCACGGCTCATAAACTTTCAGTTCCTCTTTATGTGATCTCCTCTACATCACCTTTGGATGCTCACACCCATTTGGAAGATAGAGGCTACCTGGAGTGGGATTTCCCTTGAATGTCTTCTTAGCGTTACGCATATTTATCCATCGCGTGTCACTAAGTCAAGTAGGATCAGTTTACAAAAGAAATAAGTGTAGTCAGACTAAAACGTGGCCTCCATTTAAGAAGTCGTGGTAGATTAGGTTTTACCACGTAAACGGGTGTCAGCTGTCTTTCTGAAGCGAAAAGGATGCTAATATTTGACGTTTCGAGACTTTTGGTGATATGGCTCAAAACAGTTCACAATAGTACAGATATACTCACTTCTTGCCATCCCCCATGTTCCGGAAAATGTTTATAATCTGCACTTAATAATTTCATCCTGTAAGCTTTCGATAAAAGGAATTTCTTGAACAAGACCAGAACAACAAATGATGAACCAGGTTAATATGACCTCAATTGGCTGCAGCATCAATAATGTAAAAATATATTTACAAAAATGTATATAACTACAGCCTTTACTGTAAGCATGCAGAAGTCTGTCTGTCTGTCTGTTTTCGACATTGAACTTTGCACATATGTGCGGCAGTTCAAGTCGCCACACTCCATGTAGAACACAAAGCAAGAGAAGAAAGTAGGGGAAATGCATTATATAGACAGTAAACAGAGGTGTGAGACAAAGGAGTAGTAATAACGAAGAACAAAACAGTTTCATCGGAAATCATAAGTCACAAGGAGTGGATGCATCTGCGCCACTGAGAACGATTTTGAGCCATGTCACCAATTGTTTCCAACCATTGGGTTTTACCGTCCCGAGGACCCCAACCAGGAAGTCTACACCTTCCTACGTGGCTTAGACTAACTGTTGTGGATTTCATTGACTGGTGCCATGTTTTCGTTTGACCGCCACTAGCTCTTTTCCAGTCTGACCCTATATCAGCTAGCATTGCACGTCGGTCGAGGAAGGCGATGACTAGTCACTGATGCGTAACACATGTCCTAACCATCTCAGTCGATGTAATTTCACAGTCTCGTCGATTGATTTCCCCTCCCTCCTTACCTAGCACTCGACGCCTAACCTCAATATTGCTCACCTTATTATACCACTTCACACGGGAGATAGAACGCAGACACCTATGATCGAAGACAGCTAATATTTTCATGTCTTCTGGTCTTAATGGCCAGGTTTCACAGCCATAAAGGAGGACGGAGCGGACTGTTGAGCAGTACACCCACCCTTTGTTCGATAGTCGGATATCGCGTCTACGCCAGAGACGGCGTAAACTGGCGTATGCGAACCTAGTCCTCTGTATTCGTGCTGAAATTTCGTCTGAGGTCAACCCGTTGGCTCTGGCTGATGGTACTTCCCAAGTAATTGAAGCGGTCAACGTGCTCTACCACTTCACTTCCTATTTCTAATTTAGGGGTCGGCGAAGTCCAATCCTGCAGCATCATCTTACATTTTACAGGGGCGAATCGCATGCCAAACATACGAAGATTGTTGCTCAAGGTGTTCAGTACACTCTGCATTTTGTCAGCGTCCCCGCCTAGAAGGACTATATCGCCCGCATATTCTAAGTCGACGAGATTATTCCCTGATAGCAAGTCAATCCCTGAGTCGCTGAAGTGTGTTAGGGTTAAGTCCATTAGTACGTCTATGATGAAGTTGAATAGAAATGGGGATAATGGGCATCCTTGACGGACGCCACTAGTCGTCACTACTTCAGATGACAACTCGCCATAAGCCCTCACCTGGCTGCATGAATACGAGTAGAGTGCCTTAATCAGTGCAATGTATTTTCTCGGCATTCCCTTTACAGCCAAGCATCGCCAGAGTACCTCTCGGTCGACAGAATCGAATGCCGCCTTTAGGTCAAGAAATATAATGATTGTCGGACGCCGATAGGAATGCCTATGTTCTAGAATCTGTCGAAGGGTGAAGATATGATCAATACACCCTCTCCCTGGCCTGAAACCTGCCTGGTTTTCTCGTGTTTGTGTCTCCCGAGCACCACTTAGTCTACGCAGTATTATTGAGCCTAGGATTTTAGATACTACATTAGTCAAGCTAATCCCTCTGTGATTATCACAAGAAGACTTGTCTCCCTTCCTGTATATCGGGATGATCAGTGACTTACACCAACCCGATGGGACTTCCTCTGATTCCCAGACGCCACCTAGAACCTCAGTTAACGCAGACAGTAAACTGTCTCCACCATACTTAAATACCTCTGGAGTCAATCCATCAGGTCCAGCTGCTTTGCCTTGCTTCAGATTAGTGGCTGCTCTAGTAACCTCAGTTAGGGACGGAGGGTCTGTGTTTGTATCCCATTCAGTGAGGTCTTGGATGCTAGGTAAGTTGAGCGTGTCTGTAGGCCAAGTAAACTGCTCCTCAAAGTGTTATTTCCAAAGTTCCAGTCGTTTATCCTGGGAGCTAATTATGGTGTCATTTTTCTCAGAGATTGTTTCACTTATCATTTGCCTTTTACCACCTGTTTCCCTGATAAGCCTGAATAGTTGTCTGGTGTTGCCTATCGCCGATGCTTTTTCCATCTCTTTCGCCTTTGTCAACCACCACTGTTCACGGTCCTTGCGGAGACTTTTTGTAGGTTTCCTTTTATCCTGCTTTCGCTCCTCATTGAATTCGGAGCTCGCAAGCATTCAGAAGACTTCTGTTTGTCAGTATTTCCCCCTGGAAGCAGCATATGATCTGCTTGCCTTAAATTGACAATATCCTTCCATTGTAGAAGGTTAATTTCTGAGATGTTAAAAGTGACCATGGTATTGACCTTGGCTCTCAAACAAAGGTACAGATTCTCGTCGGCTGCCTTGATTAACACGATATATCAGTGATCAATGGGTTCCACACCGTCGGGAGTGTGGATGAATACTCGCTGATGACGTTGGCTGTTGCTCGCGCTAAAATTACGAATTGGTAGAAGTTAGAATTCATGGACTGACCAGTGAATTGGGTCCCAATGTCTAAATGAGCTTGCCTTTTGCTTGGAAGTTCCTGTATTCGAACCCTGCCACGATATGCTGCCGATGAGTCCCAAACTAGGACGAAGCAGCAGTCCAGTACTCCGTAGTTTTCAACGGCTGTCAAACTAATATCATTTCGCGACCAAACTTGAAAGAAATATATTTACTGATAATTATTTTTCAGGACTTTATCAGAAGACAATGATGAATTTTAGTATGGTTGTGTTCTCTAATCAGGATGGCTTATTTGTAAAGGCCTCTTAGTGTCTTTC